TATATATATATATGTATGTATGTATGCATGTATACACACACACACATATATATATATATAGGTAGATAGATAGATAGATAGATAGCTAGATAGATAGATAGATAGATAGATAGACAGATAGATAGGTAGATGGACAGATTGATCGATATATATATATATATAGATAGATGCATAGGTCGATACGTCGATGATGCTTAGACTGGATGTATGGATGGATGGATGGATGGATGGATGGATGGATGGATGGATGGATGGATGGATGGATAGGCACCTACTGATATTCAGATGCGAGAATGCAAGAATGAACCTTTGCAGCTTCAATGCAAACAAGACTGAATGCAAGTCTCCTTTGCTGCTAAATCAGTCGCCGTACCTGAAGCGTCCATGCACCAACATGTTAACATAGTGTCCGTGCATACTTTGCATTAAAGGGGTTCCTGCATGAAAACTTCACAGTCAATACCATCAACATAGAACTTCCAAGACATGAAGAATTACTTGGAGGATCGTGGGACTTAGTAAGTAAGGTTATAAGTCCCGTAATTGGGGTTTTGAGTATAGTTATCCGAATTATAACCCTACTTACTAAGTCCCATGATCCTTTAAGTAGGGTGCCTGTACCTGAGGCTGGTTGGGGGTTTGGGCTTTCGTAAGTCTCGCCCCCCTAAACCAAAACCTAAACCCTAAACCCTAAACCCTGAACACTAAACCCTAAACCCCAAACCCTAAACCCTAAACCCTGAACTCAGGCTGTTTTGGGGTTTGGGCTTTCGTAAGTCCCGGCCTTCGGGCCTGAAGCTCGAAGCTTGAAAGCCCAAGGGTTTAGGGCCCAGGGCTTTGGGTTTAGGGTTTGGGGTTTAGGGTTTCGGGTTTAGGGTTTAGGGTTTAGGGTTTAATGTTCAGGGTTTAGGGTTTAGGGTTCAGGGTAGGGTGTTTAGGGTTTAGAGTGCCTCGGAGGGGGAAGAGCGCTCTGCGAGGCAGCTGGCCATGACGAAGATCATGGCCTCGGGCTTACTTGGAGGTTCATGGGTAGTTTAAAGGGTTCCTTTAAGGGTTCCTTTAAGGGTCCCTTTAGGGGTTCTAAAGGGGTTTAGGGTTTAGGGTCTACTTGGAGGTTCATGGGTAGTTATAAGTGGGGTTGTAAGTAAGGTATACTATAACTTACCATATTAGGGGACTTATAACCCTTCTTACAACTACCCATAGGCCCTAAAGTAGTTCCTTTTTAAGGGGTTCATATAAAGAATCCTATAAGGTAGCCCTAAAAAAGAACCACTATCGACCTAAACCTCCAAGCAGGGTTTGGGGTTTGGCGTTCAGGCTTCAGGGCTCTGGCCATGGTGAAGATCATGGCCTTCTTGGGTTTAGGGTTTAAGGTTTAGGGTTTAGGGTTTAAGGTTTAGGGTTTAGGAGGTTCATGGATAGTTGTAAGCAGGGTTATCATGAGTCCCTAATATGGGTTATAGGGTTTAGGGTTTAGGGTCCCTAATATGGGTTATGGGGTTCAGGGTTTAGGGTTTAGGGTCCGGCTATAAGCAGAGTTACCCTACTAATCACCCCACTTAAAACTACCCATGAACCTCCAAGTTGGGGGGGCCTGCATCGTAGCATTGGGTGTCGTCACGGCTGCCAGGCTTGTTGGGACTGTTGGAGTGCTCAGCTTAGGAGTCACTGCCGTGGGCATACTCCGAAGACTAGAGAATGGGGTTTTGGGGTTTAGGGTGGAATGGATCCCTGTGATGATAGTCGCTGAGGGTCCTTACTGAAGCCCCTTTAACTCATTTCCCCCTCCGTACTAAGAACCAAACACCAAGAGAATGCGGTGGTTCATGTTCCTCTGTTCGTGGCCAAGGCCCTTGGTTGAGGATTTAGGACTACATCCTTCCCGAGCCACATACCCTAAACACATGCTATGAGAAAACAGAGAATCAACTCCTACTCTGCCCGTACTGAGCTCTTCCGCCCTTAGGCCGTGTTGTTTAGGGTTTAAGGCTTCCAAGTTGGACTTGGCGAGAAAGACCGGTGGCCTAGATTAGATGCATTAGCTGCAGTGTTCGCCTTGGGAAAAAGAAGTGCCTAGTCTTCCGTGACATGAGTAGTAGAATAGCAAGCCCAAGCTCCACACCTCAAGATGCTAATGTAGGGGCCTTAATAATTAGAATAGGGCTTTGGGGCCCATGATATTATAATTATAATAAGGACCCCCCACAAAAATACAATAGGTAATTATTTGGTCTTTATTATCAAGCCCGGACATCGAAGAGGAAATCCGGAAGCTCTGAACCACGGCTTTTGAGTTCGAGAGTCCCTAATATAACCCCGAACCCTCAACAGGAGCTGAGCCCTCAACCAAAACTTGTTAATCCTTTCCTCCCTAAACCCTAAACCCTACACCCTAAACCCCAAACCCTAAGCCCTAAACCCTAAACCCTAAACCCTAAACCCTAGACCCTCACCAGGATCTGGGCTCTCAAAGAGGCGTCCGTGGCCAAGGTCTGCGCAAGGCTGCAGGAGTTGGACCTCGGTGCTGAGACGGCTTGCTGGGTTCCCGGTTTGGGGTTTAGGGTTT